GCAAACAGGGTACTTGGGGAGCATGTGGGAGGCAAGTTATGTCCTTTTGTAGACTAAACTGATTTTTGCTAATATTCCAGCCCTAGGTTCATCCAACAAATGGTTCTCTCACTTTGTGTCTGACAGGTATATTTTAAAGTGAGCTTTTTTTTATTGCAGTGTTTAGTGTTTTAGCCTTCCCTTGTTTACACCCACACACCCAGCCTCCTTGCTGTTCTTGTATTACCATACCGGCTCCTTTTTTTCCAGGCTCACGACAACATATATGATGATCCATACCAGCCAGAGATGGAGGCACAGCAGTCGACCTCTGCGGCTCGGCGCAGGGCCTACTGCCGCAACAGGGACCACTTTGCCACTATCCGTACCGCCTCCCTGGTGAGGGTTACTCTTAAGTTTTTCTCTGCTTGAGGCTTCTTTGGTTTCCTTGGGTTTGATCTCTGATTCTGTTCTGCATCGCAGGTGACTCGTCAGATTCAGGAACATGAGCAGGATTCGGCCTTACGAGAACAGATGTCCGGGTACAAGCGCATGCGGCGGCAGCACCAGAAGCAGCTGATGGCGCTGGAGAACAAGCTAAAATCTGAGCTAGATGAGCACCAACAGCGTCTGGATAAAGAGCTAGAGGCTCACCGGAGCAATTTTTCTGCAGAGACTGATAAGCTTTCCAAGAAACACCAGGCCATATTTGAAAAGGAGGTGAGTGATGGGTGTTCAGGTACGAGCAGGAGAAGATGATGGCCCATAATATTTAACAATACCAGTTTGGTGGGCTTGAATTCAGTTTGTAATAAAGGAGTACAGGCTTCCCGAAGGGTCAGTCCAACCAAAACCGTTTTTGGTTGATGTTAGACAGTTAAACAATTTCTTGTATCCCTCAGGAGAGTTCTCTACTTTCATTCCTGTGTCTGCGCTACCGCTGCCATTGCTATTGGGTCTCCCTTTCTCCCTGCTGGATTTATACCAGTAAGGATGTCAGGGTTCACCCTGATTTTGCAGATATGTAAACTTGTTCCAGGTCAGTAAGTGACTCATACCCTAGTGAACCCAGTTGGTCAATGTAGCATCTTCACAAGGAGATAGACAATAGCAGTCCCTGTGTGCCTCTCAGGAAAGGTTTACTTTAACTGCTACCCGACCCGCCCTATAGCAAGAGTACTGCTACAGGGCGGCAGGGCTGCGCAAACTTTTGTGTGTGTGTGTGTGTGTGTGTGTGTGTGTGTGTGTATATATATATATATATATATATATATATCTCACACTATATCTATCTATATATATACACTATATCTATATATATATATATATATATATATATATTTATTTATTGGCACTGCTGAAAATCTAGAGGTCGATCTGCTAACAGCCTAAAGATTTACTGCTACTCAGGGGCTGTGGGCTTCAACAAAATATATATATATAATATATATATATATATATAATAGATAGATATAGTGTGATTTTGTATTTCTGGGTCGGGGTGCGTGCCGCCCTACCTGCACCACCGTTGGCGGCTACAGCTGTCGATCACTGGGTCCCGGCCAGAGATTCCCTGCTGGCACCACGATAGCAGAGGAGCATTGACAGAGGAGAGGTCTGTATGTAAACATTACAGATCTCTCTCCTGTCAGAACCTGCCTGCTGCTTTGTATTGCTCTGCATAGACAACACAGCGCCCAGCGCCCAGTGATTACCGAGTGCTTTGTTTACTAACAGTCCTCCCTGTCAGCTCAGGCACACTGCTCTGGATGGCTGTGTACAATCCAGAGCAGTATGATTACAGTGAACAGCACACACACACCGCCCCCTAGTAAAACACTCTATACACACAATTAACCCTTTGATCGCCGCAGATGTTAACCCCTTCCTGCCCAGTGCCATTAGTACAGTGTCAGTGCTTTTATTAGCACTGATCACTGTATTAGCATCAGTGGCAGTTAGTCAACCATCGCCCCCCTCCAGTGTCAGAATGCCTGCCACAGTCCTACTATAGCTCGCTGATCGCCGCCATTACTAGTATAAAGAGAACAGAAAAAAATTCCAGTATGTATACCTCCATTTGTAGACGCTAAAACTTTCACGCAAGCCAATTAATTTACACGTATTAGGATTTTTTCTAGCAAAGACACGGAGCAGAATACATTTTGGCCTAAATTCATGATTAAATTTGATTTTTTTTAAATGTTTTTAACTGGACATGTTTAGTAGCAAAAAGTCAAAAATAGTTGGTTTTTTTTCAAAAAATTGTTGATAAGTTTTTGTTTATAGCGCAAAAAAATAAAAACCGCAGAGGCGATCAAATACCACCAAAAGAAAGCTCCATTTGTGGGAAAAAAAGGGGTACATTTTATTTTGGGTGCAGCGTTGCATGACCACGCTATTGTCAGTTAAAATAACGCAGCACCATATCGCAAAAAATGGCCTGGTCAGGAAGGGGTGGAAATCTTCATGAGGGCGAGGGGTTAAGAAAGGTTTCCACAGAAAAGGCCATAGAATTTGTAAAACAATAAGTGGTTTTTTTTTTTTTTTTCCCCCCTTAAACAGCTTTACCCTTTACCAGCATTGCTATTAGCTGGTACTGTAGACAGGGCGAATCTGACCGTTCCAGTCTGTATTGCTAGGTAATTAAAAAACAGGTTTAGGCTTTAAGCGGAACTTTACCCATAACAGCTTGATAAAAATAATGTCTTTGGCAAGGAACATACATTTCACAATAATAATTATGCTACCAAAATTAGTGTGTGCTGTAAATTGCCTCCAGTATTTCTTCTGCCATTTTGTTGAAGCCCACAGCCCCTGAGTAGCAGTAAATCTTTAGGCTGTTAGCAGATCGACCTCTAGATTTTCAGCAGTGCCAATAAATAAAGAGCAACTGAGCATGTGCAGAGCAGGGTTAGACAGTGTATTACTGGATTTAAAATAGTATAGGCACCTATTAGGAATGTTTTTCATAGCTGTACTTGCAAAAGGGGCCAGCATTAAGTGATCTAGCAGGACTTCATTTGTGACTAAAGTTTCACTTTAACCACCTCCTGTCCGGCCTTTGTATTTAAACGGCTGGACGGTGGCAGTGCAGGGTCGGGTGGCCGTTTATAAATGACCTCCCTGCCCCCTGCTTGTGCGCGCTCCCTGGGAGCGCACAGCACCGCGATCCGGTGGAACACCGATTGTTGTACGGGACCTCTGTGCGAGGTCCCGATCATGTGATCACTGATTGGCCAATCAGTGATCACATGCAGAGTAGTAAGCAAGGTGTCACTTCTGACATCATTGCTTACTACGTGTGAAATCTGTGAATGATCACAGAGGTCACATGGTACAGGGCTATTCACAACAGCCTTGTACCGTATGACAAGCTGTGACCAATCACAGCTCACACAGTATTTCTCAATGGCTGCAAGAATGCAACCAGAGAGAAGGAGAAATTATTGCTATTACAGCCTTTATGGGTGTAAAAGCAATCGGTGTAAAAAAAAAAAAAAAAAAAAAAAAAAGCTTCATCACCCCCCACAAGTAGTACAGTGTATCCATGGTGACACTTTGCTGCTAGGGTGACAGTATGTAGAAAAAAAAAACTAATATAAAAATATAAAACAAAAAGTTTAAAAATTATAATTTTTGGTTATAAACTAATTTGGGTTATTTTTTTTTTTCACTAAAAAAGATAACGGAATAATTTTTGGCCAAGATTTATGATGAAATATTATTTATTTGAAAAAATTTTATAAGAAAAACACTTTTTTTCTACATTTTTGGACTTTTTTATTTACATAACAAAAAAAATAAAAATCCCAGTGATGAATAAATACCCATAAAAATAAAGCTTTATCTGTCTCAAAAAATGCTACAAAATTCATATGGGTACAGTGTTGCATGACCACGCAATTGTCATTCAAAGTGTGATAGCGCTGAAAGCTGAAAATTAATGAATGTGTCAAAACTCAAGGGGAGTAATGTAGCGTTTTCGTGTGCAAAAGAAAAGAAAAACTTTGGGAATGAAGAGAAATAAAGGTGGACACATGGAATCGACTGGGAAGTCAGGTGTGGGTAGGCCTTAGATAGTATGCTACATAGTTTTAAAAAGATCTGTGAATATGTTGGAATGTCAGGTCAGCTGAGTGGAGCTTATTGGATTTTGCATAAGTGGGTAACATGGGTCATTCTAATATAATAAACGATTTTTCTTGCCTACAGGCCAAGGCAGCTCTGACAGAGGAAAAGAAGTTTCAGCAGCACATCCTGGGCCAGCAGAAGAAGGAGCTGACCAACCTGCTGGAGAGCCAGAAGAGGCAGTACAAGATCCGCAAGGAGCAACTCAAAGAGGTTCGCAAAACTGAGGGGCCAAAACAAGGACTGGCTGGATTGGATTATTTCTTGTAATCCTGAATCTTGCAAAGAAAAGGAGATATATATAGATATATATATATATATATATATATATATATATATATATATATATATATTAGAGATATATATATATATATATATATATATATATGAGAGATCACATGACAGTATGCCCGGGGGCACGGTGTGGAACATACTGTAGGATATACAGCACAGTTTACAGGGTGATGCTCAGTATAGGCTTGTACAGCATAGTGCACAGAGGGAATGCTGTAGACTATAGGATGCACAGAGGGGTGTGATATAAATCGGTGGTATAGGATGTACAGCACAGTGTGCAGGGTGACTTGGTTTGGAGTATAGGATGTACAGAGGGCCATGGTATAGCATGTAGAATGTACAGCATAGTGTGCAGAGGGATTGCTGTAGAATATAGGAACATAGTGTACAGAGGGATATCTTTAGAATATGGGGATGTATAGAGGGATGTGGTGTGCAGTGTAGGATGTACAGCACAGTGTGCAGGGTGACTTGGTTTGGAGTATAGGATGTACAGAGGGCCATGGAATAGCATGTAGAATGTATATCGTAGTGTGCAGAGGGATTGTTGTAGAATATAGGAAAATCGTTTACAGAGGGGTGCGGTGTGGAGTATAGGATGCACAGCACAGTGTGCAGGTTGACATAGTTTGGAGTATAGGATGTACAGAGCGGTGTAGTATAGAGTATGTGATGTACAGCACTGCGTGCAGGTAAGGCTTGTGGTCTGGAATGTATGATGTACAGAGGGATGTGATGTGGAGCATAGGATGTACTTAACAGTATGCAGAGAGATGTGTATATGGAGTATAGAATGTACAACCCAGTGTGCAGGGTGGAATATAAGATGTAAAGGGGGGATCCTTAGAATTTAGAATGTACAGAGGGATGTGGTGTGCAGTATAGGATGTACAGCACAGTGTGTGCAAGGTGATGTTTAGAGTGTAACATGTACAGAGGGTGCTGTGTGCAGTATAGAAAGTACAGCGCAGGTTGACATGGCGTGGAGTGTAGGATGTACAGAGCGATGTGGTGTGGAGTGTAGGATGTATAGCACAGTGTGCAGGTAAGGCTTGTGGTATGGTGAATGTAGGATGTATAGCACAGTGTGCAGGCTGACGTGGTTTTGAGTATAGAATATACAGGGGTGACATGGTGTGGAGTATAGGATGTTCAGGGGGGGGATGGTGTGGAGGGGCATGGTGTGGAGTATAGGATGTACAGGGGGGGGCATGGTGTGGAGTATAGGATGTACAGGGGGGCATGGTGTGGAGTATAGGATGTACAGGGGGGGCATGGTGTGGAGTATAGGATGTACAGGGGGGCATGGTGTGGAGTATAGGATGTACAGGGGGGCATGGTGTGGAGTATAGGATGCACAGCACAGTGTGCACAGGGGGTGGGGGTGACGTAGGGTGTACAGAGGGGGATGGTGTGGAGTATAGGATGTACAGGGGGGCATGGTGTGGAGTATATAGGATGTACAGCACAGTCTGCAGTGTGTAGGATGTACAGGGGTGGTGTTATGTAGGATGTACAGAGGGGCATGGTGTGGAGTATAGGATGTACAGCACAGTGTGCACAGGGGTGTGATGTAGGGTGTACAGAGGGGGCATGGTGTGGAGTATAGGATGTACAGCACAGTGTGCACAGGGGTGTGATGTAGGGTGTACAGGGGGGCATGGTGTGGAGTATAGGATGTACAGCATGGTGTGGAGTATAGGATGCACAGGGGGTGATGGTGTGGAGTATAGGATGTACAGAGGGGGCTGGTCTGGAGTATAGGATGTACAGGGGGGCCATGGTGTGGAGTATATGTACAGTGGTCTGGAGTATAGGATGTACAGCACAGTGTGCACAGGGTGTGATGTAGGGTGTATAGAGGGGCCTGGTCTGGAGTATAGGATGTACAGCACAGTGTGCACAGGGGTGTGATGTAGGGTGTACAGAGGGGCCATGGTCTGGAGTATAGGATGTACAGCACAGTGTGCACAGGGGTGTGATGTAGGGTGTACAGAGGGGCCTGGTCTGGAGTATATGGTGAACAGAGGGAAGTGGAATGTAGGATGTACAGAGGAATATCATGCAGAGTATAGCATGTGCAGGCTGGAACAAGGTGGAATGTAAAGAAGGGTGCGGAGTATAGATATACTGGAGCAGAACACTGAGGAAAGCACCTTTTTATAACTAAATGCTTCTAAATATTTGTTACCTGCTGTCCAAACAATGCAAGAGCAGCTAATATGCAGTCTGGGATTTGAGGGCCTCAAAACTGTGTCTCCACCCCCCACCCCCCCCCCCTCCATTTTCGAATGCTAGCAATAGCCTTCATAGAGTAGAACAGGAAAGGCTCCTTTTGGGCTTCATACGGCCTGAATATTTGACGTAATGTATATATGTGCCTTTCTGGCAGGAGTTGCAGGAGAATCAGAGCACGCCAAAGCGAGAGAAGCAGGAGTGGCTACTCCGCCAGAAGGAGAGCATGCAGCAGCACTACCAGGCAGAGGAGGAGGCCAACCTCCTGCGCAGGCAGCGCCAGTACTTCGAGCTCCAGTGTCGGCAGTATAAACGAAAGATGCTGCTAGCAAGGCACAACCTGGACCAAGACCTTCTCAGAGAGGTGGGTGCCAGTTTCCTCTCCTTGGTCATGGAGTGAGGTTGAATAGTGGAGACATAGGCAGCAAAAAACCTGCAGAGGATCCAACCGCTCCCAGCTATTTCCAAAACTGATGAAAAAAATGTTGACTGGGGTTCTTTATGTTGATTGCACAAATGTCTAAAACGTTTTTAAAGGACTTCCGATTTCTTCTAACCGCTGTAAAATAACAGAATGTGTTGGTTTTTTTTTTTGTTTATTTTTGGTTTTTTTTGCAGGAGCTGAACAAGAAGCAGACGCAACGAGACCTGGAGTGTGCCATGTTATTGCGACAGCACGAGTGCACCCAGGAGTTGGAGTTCCGCCATCTGCAGCTGCTGCAGCACACGCGCAGTGAACTGATCCGTCTGCAGCACCAAACAGAGCTGGGCAACCAGCTGGAGTACAACAAGCGGCGGGAGCAGGAGCTTCGCCAGAAACATGCCGCCGAAGTCCGACAGCAGCCCAAGAGCCTGAAAGTAAGGCCTGGGGAGGAGGAGGAGAATGATGATGATGAGGAGGAGGAGGAGGGGGGGAGAAAGTGGCACTTTCAGCCTCTACAGCTCTGAGGATGAGGAACAAGCGTCAGATGCAGTGGCTTCTTTAGAGCGCACCTCGGCAGATGGCAGTCCAGGCCCTGATGTCCCTTACTTTGAGTTGACGTCTCTGCAAATTGCAGAGCCGGAGGTTTCCCTCCGCTCAGGGCACTCACAGGTTTCCTCCTCCCTACCGAGCCATGCTCTTTGTGCTGCTTTAACCCTTCTGGCAGCTTCCAGGCCCTCCTGCCCGTGGTCTCTGCTTCCCCTGCTAATGGCGCTCCTCACCCTGTGGAGGCCAGGGCCACTTTTAGACTCTGTACTCATGGCCCTAGAGACCCTTGGGGCCAGCCTGCTCTGTGGCTACATACTGTTGTGCTGGGTGTTTGCTCTAAGCCCCACCTCCTTCGTATTACTGGCGCAGAGCTCGGGGGCACTGGCTGTGCTGGCCTTGAGTTATAGGCTTAGGCTGTATTATGTACCAGTATTGGCTATAGCAGTTGGGGTGTTTACCTCCCCTGGGATTTTCCTGTCCATTTCCCTGGCAGCCGGCTCTTTGGGAAAGCCTTCGAGTCAGTGGCTTAAGGAGTGGCCAAAGCGAGGGCGTAAATTATGGCTGAAGGCGCTGCTGCGGTTGCCGCAGCCAGTCTTCAGGGTCCTCCAACGCTGTGGGGCAGTGCGAGAAGGCGGGCTCTTCTCCCTTTTCCCAAAAACGTACAAAGGTGGCTACAGGAGCCGTATACCTGTCCTCGCCAGGCAGTCCAGGGCCAGCAGTAAGGAGCCCTGGTGGAAGAAGCTTGTCAGGGCTCCATCACGTATTGCAAAAGCGGTAAATGAGAGCCTTACCAAAGGGGTGCGGAGGCTCTGTGCAGTCCTGCCTCCAGTAGCGCTAGATTACATGGAACGGTTAAAACTCCTGAGACAGGAAAGGCCCAGCCGCATTCCGAGACTGATGACCCGCGAACAGAGGCAGAGGGAGGCTGCCAAGCACAGGGAGCAGCGGGGACCACAAGTAGGGAGGTCAGTAGGAAGAGCCAGTACAGCCAGGCGATCAAACCCACCAATCCCCTGGAGGTGAAAGAGATGGCACGAGGTGTCACAGCCTTTCCCCAAACTGTAATGTGCCTTATTACATGGAGCAGGAGTGAAGGAATTGTTACATGGAAATGTCACCCCAAAACCAATGCTATCTTCAGTATCGGTCATCCCTCCCCTGTGCCACCAATGTGACATATAAAGCAGTCCAAAGTTCTAACTTTATGTCTGCCTTAAACAAGTATGGAGGCCTTCAGGAGAATGTATGGGAATAGGTAAAACGCCTGTCAGATTGTTTTTGCCATCTGTGTCCCATTAGGTAGATTTTCCCTTCATGTCCTGTTTCTGTAGACACAACAGGAAGTGAGAGGAAATCTCTCTAAAGTAAGGGAAATTCCCCGTTGTCATCAAAACAGATGACCCTACTTAGAGATTTCCTCTCAGTTTCCTGTTCTGGTGACAACCCCTAATTTTAGATTTTCCCCCACTCTGGGAACAATGGTCACCGCGACTAAAGGAGAGTGAAAATCTTCCCTGGAGGGGCCACTGACAGCATTGAAAACCTGACAGGGGTTCTAAATCTTTCCCACTCAAAAAGTTTTGGCTTCGTTTACACTTTAGCAATATGGTTCCGCAGTGCTCCAAATCCAGGTCTGATGATCTAATACCATGGCATGAAGTATGTTCCTCCTGCACACCTTACTGGAATCAGCCATGTGGTCAAAAGGGTGCTGCAACAACTTCTAACTGGTCAGTCCATAACATAATGGGTAAGAGATGTGACCAGCACGCCACCAAGCGTGTCTCAAAATGCAAAGCTTTTTTTTTTTCTTTTTTGTTCTTTTGGTTTTTTTTTTGTTTTCACAATTACTCAGAGGAGCAACATTTTTTGAGCCTGTGCAGGGACCCTTGATCAGGCATTGTAACAGTCTCCCTGCACAGTCCAGAACCATTGCTTTTCTATTTGATCTGGCAATAAAAACAGCTCTGCACTTTGAAGCATGCTCGTCGGTGTGCTGGCAACTACGACATCCCTCCAAGGGGGAGCCAAACTCAGTAGAGACGCCAACTGAAGTGAATGCAGGCTCTGCTGATGTCAGCATTTACCTTACAGAGCTTTCAGGAGACACCTGACCTAATGCCGCAGTTATTTTCACATGACCTGGACCTGAAGCACCAGAGGCCCTTTTTGCTATGCGGCAAACTAGTTGTTATTATACAGGATTTATGGCGCCAACAGTTTGCTCAGCGCTTTACAATATAACGGGAGACAATACAGCAACAATACAGTTCAATACAAGAGGGATAGGAGGGCCCTGATCCTGGGAGCTTACAATCTAGTTATAACACTTCACCCTCCCTGCTCTTTAAAGCAGACAAAAAGATTAGGGTTTATGTCTCGATATCCCACCCCTTCCCGATCCTGCAGATAACCCCCTTTTCCCCCCTCCCCCCCCCAGCAAAGTAATGACTGTGAAGTTGACCGCTGCTTCGGGGGAACAGATTTTATATGTGTTTACTGAAGTTCTTACAAAGGTTTCTATTTTAAGTGATGACAATTTTGCACACGGTAACTTTATAAAATATAGATATATTTTCTAAAGAGTAATTTATATATCACCGCGTTGGCAGACGATCCTCTGCTTTGCTGCGGTGTCACGAAGCATGGAAAGTGACTACGTGGTCACACAATGCAGTTGTTTTCGTCTGTAACTAATTTTTGAACAGACCAATTCGGTGAGAGTATATGAGGTGACGAAATGAGGTCTGTTGGGTAACAGGCTGTAGAGCAGTTGAAGTAATTTCATGCCTTTAGTGTGGAATCAAATGACACACAATTAGAAATAGTGCAGTGCTTTGGCTTGTTAGGAAAGAAGGGAATACTTTTCCACCACACAAGGTTTATTTATTTTTAGATAGACCTCTGTACCCTAATAGTAAGGTTTGTGTTGTCCTAAAACCTGACCTATTGGGATAACTTTAGAGCCAAACTCCATGGAAATCTAAACACGCTCTTTACTCCAGTTTTTAGTATTTCTTAAAGCACACCTCAGTTTAGTATTTCTTAAAGCAGACCGGTGGCAAGGTCCGCTTATTCAAGTTGTTGCTCCTCTCCTCCATAAAATGCTGCAAAAGTACCAGTGGTGGGAAAAGCGATTAATATACTCGCCTTTCCCTGGCTTCCTCCCCCAGCTGCTAGCCAACGGTGATGTCAACATCCTCCAAGATCTGTCCGGAAGGCGTATGAGTAGCCCAAATTCTGCAAGATGTTCCCACATTGTGGCACTTCGCACAAAATTTGGGCTGCTCCATATTCCCAGGGATCATGTCGGCAGGAAAATGTCACCCACTGAGGGGGAAGATCTGCTTTCAAAAGTAATTTTTTTTTAGTATGGTTAGTACCCTGCCTGAGATCTTTCTTGATGAACATAACCTGGCTAAGGTAACCACAACTATTTTTTAGGTAGAATTGTGTACTCTAATAGTAAGGGTTGCCCTAAAACCCAACCTATTGGGATAACTTTAGAGCCAAACTCCAGGGAAATCTAAACACGCTCTTTACTCCAGTTTTTAGTATCTCTTAAAGCAGACGTCAGTTTAGTATTTCTTAAAGCACACCTCAGTTTAGTATTTCTTTAAGCAGACCTCAGTTTAGTATCTCTTAAAGCACACCTCAGTTTAGTATCTCTTAAAGCACACCTCAGTTTAGTATTTCTTAAAGCAGACCTCAGTTTAGTATCTCTTAAAGCACACCTCAGTTTAGTATCTCTTAAAGCAGACCTCAGTTTAGTATTTCTTTAAAGCACACCTCAGTTTAGTATTTCTTTAAGCAGACCTCAGTTTAGTATCTCTTAAAGCACACCTCAGTTTAGTATTTCTTAAAGCAGACCTCAGTTTAGTATTTCTTTAAGCAGACCGGTGGCAAGGTCCGCTAATTCAAGTTGTTGCTCCTCTCCTCCATAAAATGCTGCAAACGTACCTGTGGCGGGAAAAAAAGCGATAATATACTCGCCTTTCCCCATCTTCCTCCCCCCAGCTGCTAGCCAACGGTGACGTCAACATCCTCCAAGATCTGTCCGGAAGGCGTACGAGTAGCCCAAATTCTGCAAGATGTTCCCAAGTTGTGTTAGAGGCGCTTCTCACAAAATTTGGGCTGCTCAGCATTCCCAGGATCTTGTCGGCAGGAAAATGTCACCCACTGAGGGGGAAGATCTGCTTTCAAAAGTAATTTTTTTTTTAGTATGGTTAGTACCCTGCCTGAGATCTTTCTTGATGAATATAACCTGGCTAAGGTAACCACAACTATTTTTTAGGTAGAATTGTGTGCCCTAATAGTAAGGTTTGTGTTGTCCTAAAAACCTGACCTATTGGGATAACTTTAGAGCCAAACTCCAGGGAAATCTAAACACGCTCTTTACTCCAGTTTTTAGTATCTCTTAAAGCAGACGTCAGTTTAGTAATTCTTAAAGTAGACCGGTGGCAAGTTGTTGCTCCTCTCCTTCTCAAAATGCTGAAAAAACTACCTGTGGCGGGAAAAAAAAAAAGCGATAATATTCTCGGCTTCCTCCCCCAGCTGCTAGCCAACGGTGGCATCATTCTCCTTCCAGACAGATCTTGGGGGATGTTGAGTAGCCCAAATTCTGCAAGATGTTCCCACTTTGTAGCACTTATCACAAAATTTGGGCTGCTCAGCATTCCCAGGGATCTTGTCGGCAGAAAAATGTCACCCACTGAGGAGGAAAGAATGCTTTCAAAAGTATTTTTTTTTTTCAGTATTGTTACTACCCTGCCTGGAATCTTTCTTGATGAACATAACCTGGCTAAGGTAACCACAATAATTTGTTAGATAGAATTGTGTACCCTAATAGTAAGGTTTGTGTTGCCCTAAACCCTTGACCTTTTGGGGT